CCGGAATTTCTCAGTGGATGGAGTTGGCACAAACTGGATACCAACAGTTTTTCTTCATCCGTGCTTGGGAGAATGGACGCCGCTGGGCTGAAATTCTGACAGACCATGGTATTTCTTCTGTAGAGCTTTCAAGCTTCTTGGATATGTGCAGAGATCCCAAATTGCTGGGTTGGAACTTTGGTATTCCAGAACCTCAGTGGGGTAATTTTGGCAATACAGTGGAGGAAGCATTCAACAATCCCTTATTTGCCAAACTGCACTATCGCTTCAAGCAGGAGGAAGAGATTGGTCGTGTCATGCACCTTGTGTCAGAACTTGTTTGTGACTTTTTCATCAAGGTGCTTCCCAAGTGGGTTCTTGACCACTCGATCTTGTGGGAAGAGTTTATGATTTTGGATCCACACACAAAGCTCCCAGTTTACAAGACTTCAGAGGCCGCCTTACAAGCAGAAAGGAATCCAGAGAAGTATCATACACATTTTGCTATGAACTTCAAGAAATTCCGTTTTTCTGCAAGGATTGTGTGGTATTTGATTGACCGTGACAGGAATCATTTAGAGAGTTTTCTTCACAACTCCAACAGTAGATTTGTGCAACATGCATGCTATCAACTTCGTGAGTATGTTCAGGCGCGTGTTGCAGTTTCTGATCCCTTGTATGAGATGATCAAGAAGGAAGAGTTTGAACGCCAATACAATTCCAAGTTTTTGGAGGCGATTTCTTGCTCTCGTGTTGTAGTTGAGCCTGTAAGTTCAGGGACGTATGAGCCATCATCGAAGCTGAACTTAAAGGTACTACAAGACATCCTGAAGGGTATCTTCAAGATCCAGAAGGATGAGGAGCTTGCCAAGGAACGTGATGAAGAAGAAGAACAGGCAGCTCAAAACATCTCATACCTGTTGGCAGATGATATGGAGCTTGATTTTGATGATGATGATGTTCCAGTGTGGCGCTCCATTGTCGACAAGTATAGAGGAGGTGATCAGGTGCTACAGGGAGAAGCTGTGAAGATTACTCACCTGTTCAGGGATCAAAAGGACAATGAGAAGGCGACAGAAGCTTTCAGTTCAGAGAGGACAGATTTTTACGAGACCTCAGGACCTCTTCCAAGAACCGAGGGAAAAAATCTTGTAGAGGACTTGCTCACCAAGGATGTTGCAGAACAAGCTTTTGAAGCAGGTGAAGAAGTTCCTCCTTATACAAGAGTCTCCACTATCGCTGGTGAAGTCTATACTGGAAGTATGACACTTCTAGAAGATGAGAATATGGAAGAGGAAGTTCCTGAAGAAGATCCTGCAGTTGAACCTGAAAAGGAACAAGAAATATTTGATGAAGATGCAGGTATTTTTCCTTCAGAGGAACCAAAGATGGAAGTTGACCAGGAGGAAGCCAAGGAAGAGTCAACACCACACTTTCTGTCAAGAGAGATAGGTGAGGACTCGACTGCATCGCACTTACCATCAGGTGAGATGGATGCTAACCTTGATGATACTTCAGGTCAGCGGAAATCGAAGAGAAGCCGCCTGAATAAAATTCCTGATCCTCATTTTCATGAAGAAGTTCAGGATGATGCAACCATGGAAGAGAAGAAAGAGGCGGTGGAGAAAATAAAAGAGGTCAGAGAGGATGATGGAGAGAAGAAATTGGAGGCTGAAATCCAAGAATCTTTTCCATCTGAAGTAGTTGTTGAAAAGGAAACAACAAAAGCTGACGATACCTATGAATTGCATACTTCACCTTTGAAGTTGCTTGGAGAGATTACAGGAGATCCAGGTATTGGCTTTTATCAACTATGCTTCAGGGAAACTCATGCAAGATTGCTGAATCATGTTTGTTTCAGAAAGGGTGAGATTTCCCATCCTCATTATCAGTCAAGGATCAACGAGAATGATTTTGTACGATCCATTCGTAATATCTGTCCAGTACCTCCACCTGATTGTTATGAACATGAACCAGAGCATGATTTGAAGAGATTCTTCATCAATGATGACCGCATCATTTATTTGGATGGCAGGTATCAGGTCGATCCAAAGGCCCTTGAAAGGGCAGAACATGCTCGAGAAGAATTGGAGGAGACGAAGAAGGAACTCAAGAATGAACTGGAAGCATATGGTCCTAAGGGACCCAGTTGGGACTTTGTCACCTTCTATGAAGAGCTGTGCAGAAGGTTCCTCAAGGGAAGAATAGAAGAACCATATGGAACTAACTTATTGGCCAGCTCAGAGTCCTTGACATTTTTATCCTGGAACTATGGCAACATGGTTCGTGGTCAGAAGTACACCACACCAAGGTTTCTCCAAGGACTTGATAGTGCAATGAGGCCACGCAAACAGAGCGCCATGTCACTTCAGAATGAGCAATTTGAGAACAACCTTTTCTTCAACATGCTCTTCTTTTTACGTGCACATGTCGTGATTCTCCAGGAAGCTCATCTTCTTGTTCCTGCCAAGGAATTTATTGAGCAAAAGAATTGGACAGTTTGTTTCAATGATTGGGAGAATCTTGCAGTGATGGCTAGATTGGCACCAGGTGGATATGTCAAGATCATTGCTGGACATGACCAAGATCTTGGTCACTGTGAACAGCGTGATGTAACTTGGGCTATCTACGAGATTTGTTTTGGAGAAACAAGGCCTCGTAGGATGCAGACTTTGAATTTGATGACTATGGTCCTGAGGACAAGCGTGTTCCACTTACTCGAGCGAACATGCATACCATCAGAGTCTGTAATTATCATGTTGATACACACCGTGCTGTGGATGCCCACCTACTGACAGGAGAACAAACAGCATTGATGCTTTACGAGTGTTTTGTCTATGAGGTGGACATCATTTCTGGTGATGCAAATAGTTTGGCCTACAGAATGTCTGGGTACAAAAGGCAGCCAATGGCTAATTACTATTATAGCACCATGCAGCATTGGATCCGCAGGTTTTCAGAAGCTCGTGTAAAAGCAGATCTTGGTATCAAAGCACCTATTCCCAGAACATTTTACAGTTCAACTTCACAGGTCCTCAAGAAGTGTGAAGTTTACTTTGATAAACTCTGGGAAGAATACTCTACTGTTGAGAAAGAAGAATACCAAGGATCACAGCTTGGCGATACATGTTTGTCTACCATTGTTGAATGGGGTCATTCAATGAGCGAAGAGGAATATGAAAATTCCACAGTGAGCACGAAGGAGTTCATCTGTAATTTTTCAGAGAACTTTGCTATGATTGATACAGAGGTTATGTGCTCAAGGCCCACTGACGAGGACAGTCATGGTCCAATGTTTATTTCACTCAGACCAGCTTCCTTTTCATCTGGAGACAGAAGACAGTATCGCATGGGAGCAACTCTTCATGAGGCTAACTTGCGGAGGAAGGAGAGACAAAAGCAGAATAGAAAGAAAGGAAGGCCGCCAACCTCTGGTCAAGCAGCTTCATCGTCTGCAGCGGCATAATTCCTGAGCGAAGGCTTAAATTTAAATGATGGCTAGGAAGTGAAGATACTTCTGGTTACAGTTGATACTTTGCTTCCAAGCTTGACTTTAAGTTGCCAGGCTGAAGTTTTAATGAACTCTGGTTTGCAACCAGGAGAAACTTTTTATCAAAGAAGATACTCCTGCATTCCAGGTTTATACGCTTTAGCATGTAGATAGGTATGGACAGTTTTGCATAACTGATGATATCTATCACAGTCGCTTTTCTGAGATGACCTCTAATGGACAACCAGTCATGGTTGATGATTAAGTCATTTCATGATTGCAATTGTAGTGCAAGATTTTTTGTACATACATTTGCCGGTATCTCCTTCTTGTGTTTTTGATGTGAATGTGGAAGAGAGTCCTTTTGATGCAATTTTTTTGTCTGTGGATGAAAGCGGTCGAGACCACGTCACGAGAAGATTATTCCTCGGACCGTACGCTCCTTGCATTTTGCAAGGCATCTTAATTCATTGCAATTTGTGCGGTCTTGAATTTTTAGTTCTTTGTTACGCGAGTGTCGTTTGATTCTTTTATAGGTCTCTGTAGAGAAAAAGCCACTTTCCCTTTTAGTTTGATTTAGCTCAGGCCATAAAGAGCTAGTGAGCGCCGGTACATGGTATCTCCGCCTGCGAAAAGTACAGTCTCCAGCCGAGGTACATTATCGATTTGATTTTGTACTTGAGGTGAGTCAGCTATTGCTCCCTCACTGTATTTAGTAGCTATGAGATTATCTTCTCCAAAGTGTGAAACACACTGGATTAGATAAGTACATGGCACCGTAGTTTTCTTTTAAGTTGTCAGAGCTAGCTGGACTGTTTTAGCCTTGCAGTAGAAAAAGAGTATGCGACATACGCAATCAGCTAGAAGTGGACATGAATCTTGTGCCTGCTGAAAAGTAGAGCCTACCTGTACAGGGTTCCACTCCAACAGCTGATATAGTGTGTCCATGCTTGACTGCTTCAAGGCTCAAGAGAGGGTCAATGGACCTAAAGAGCAAGAGGACAAGACTCTGCGCATAAAAGACACTAGCGGTCTGCACCTCTACCGTGTACGCCCTAGTCACTCTTTCAGGGGGGGGGGTGAGGGGGGGGGTCTTCGACCTGAAAAATCAGGGGTTAGGATTTGCACCGGGTGGAAAGAAACCTTGCTATCGCAAGAGTAACTCCAGCTAGCTTCGCTAGCTTTCGTGATTATAGGAAGAAAAACAAAAACTAACTATCTTGCTATCACTGAAAAATCTATAGGAATTCCTAGACATGTGCCGCACACGAATCCGAACATCTGCGTAGACCGGCTTGAGTACAAAGGCCGACGAATCCCGCAAACTCCTGCACAAAAAGAAACAAAACATCAGCAAATATAAGATGATTGGCAAGGGTTTAGGGTGTTTCTTTTCGCCACCTGCTTCATGAATATATTATAAATATATATTATTTGGTTGGGGGGTTGACCCAGCCCAGTTTCCCGTGCAAAAAACAAACGTCCCGAGACCCCCGAGACCCTGAGGTCGCGCCTGAATTGCTGAAGCCGCTCACGTCCCTCCTCCAACCTCCTCTGCAAATTTTCCACCTGCGAGTTGCTGAGGCTGATCCTCTGCCTCTGATTTCTGATCAAAAAGTCCGTTTTCCGCAGGGAACTGGACCTTGGCCTGTACAATATATTGTTGAACAGTTGGGTGACTAGATCATGATAGACATGTATGATCATGTATGCAACTATGTACCATGTCCAAGTCTGATGGTGTGAAGGTTTGGTGTGTAGAGATTGTTTCTTTATGTATCTTTTTGATGTTGCAATTAATTACATAGATCAATGAACAAAAAACACGGAAGAACACCAAAACGAGGCCACTAGCGTGACTAGCGTAGCTGATTAAACAAAGAAGTTTGTTCACTGGAATGAATCTTGCACCAGTAAGCCCTATATAGGGATGTTGATGTCATCGCTTCACGGGCCTTGGATTTGCTTTCGGGACCAGGATTGACATAGATTCACCCATGGTATCATAGGGAGAAAAGAGATCACCCCAAGCAAAACCAATGCTGGAAGTCCAGGTGCTTGGGCACTCTGAGCCCAACCTCTTCACGATTCTTGGCAAACCCTCTTGAACTATTGAAGCCCTTCGGAGCAAGGTTATGCCTGAAATTAATAGTGACTCAAGATGACTCATTCGCATAGTTAACCAGACTCCCAGCCCTAGATCCGTCCCTCTGTAAAGACATAGTTAATCATAAACTTCCACAAATCGCCCTCCCCCCTCGCCTCTTCCTTGACCGCTTCCCCCGGCCCATCGGAGAACTTGGACACCTGGCAGCCCCGGTTCGGAGCTTGGAAGAGGGTCGGTCTTGGTGTTGTCCACCAGACCTGTTCTTCCGGGCCTCCAAAATGGAAAATCCGTCCAAATGGATCCCCTCCCCTCCTCCCTGCCTCCCTGGTTTTCAACCATTGAGGGATGGTGAACGTCCGAAAAGGACCAGGAACCGCCCAGGGCCACTCTCCGTGAAGAAGGTCCGGAGAAGCTCGCGCCGGTCACTAGCCGGATTGAGAGGGGTTGAGAGGGGGAGATGGGTGGATCCTCATTGTTCCCTGGTTTGTAGAACTTGGGCCCATGGTTTGGGTTTGGAGATGTTTTATGGCTCCCAGTCTGCAGGAACGACTCAGAGGATGTGGTCGTTTGGTGAAAGCAGGCCGCACCAGGCCACTTGGGAAAGGAGAGAGCGAAAAGGACGCCTCAGATTCTGACACTTTGAGACACTTTGAACATGCAGTATGTGTGTCCTGGTGGAAAAAGACTTGGACCATCACGTCGTTCAAAGACATCATGACATCCCCTGTTCTGCAGACGTTGATGTGAAAATCCATGTCAGATCTTCCTTTGGCGACGCTAGAAGCTGACCCACTTCTACTCAAGAATGCCCCCCAACCCGTACCTATAGCCTATAAGTTCCTCCTGAGCCAACGTCACTCCTTCCACATCCATCACATCCTCCGTTCCAAACCAGCCCCCCAAAATGATCCAAATCATAACCAATCACCGAATGATGAGAGCCTCCTCCGAATTGCTCACCCCACACCCCTCAGACACCCGACCCGGACCGAACCAGTGCCCGGTCGGCCTCCACCGACTTCCGGGCGACGTAGCTCTGTGTCTCGGCCAGGACGCCGTGCACGTGCGCCGCCACCTGCGGGTCACGCAGACCGGCGACGGTCGGTCGCGGACCGGGCGCGGTCGGACCGGGAAAAGCGGGGCCGGGCTGCTGGGGAACGGGGTGACAAGGGGGCTGGGGGGGGGGTCTCACCGCGCTTGCGTGGTGGACCAAGATGAAGACCACGAAGAAAATGGTGTGAAGACCTATCTGTGATGGGTGTGTTCATGGGAAGATTCTTGGACTAGTTGATTTGGTTCAAGCTTCCAGCCATGGGATACTGTTGGGTGGAGACTGGACAGTCCCGTTGGGATACAAGTTCAACACCGACCGTAAAGGTTCTTCATCTAAGGCATTGATATAGACCTAACTTGTGTCTAGAGTACAAAACCTCCTCATGTGGATCTCAGAAGAGATGATAAGCGCAATGAACATCAATGAAACATCTACCAGCAGGCTCCAACATCTACTGGCATATTGCGACATATTTGCATTGACCAATTGACCCCTGTTCAATCAGTAAATTTGCCATTCCCATTGATGGTTTGGGAATGGTTTGAACCTTCTCCGGATCTCTGCAGTTCTCAGAGAGACGCCTTGTCTGCTTCAGCAAAGAGTTCCGACATGTCCTGCGCTGGACGGGCAGTTCATGGAAGATACGAAAATACCGTAGCCAAGAAAATAGAAAATACTGATACGGGGGAAGATACTGATACGGGGGAAGTCTCATACTGTTCCATGGAAGATACGAAAATACTGATTGATCCTGCTACGATGATCCCCAAAAAAAGTAGAATGATGTTCAAAGCGGGACCTGCTCGCCTACTCAGTCTCATGGGACCGGAGATGGGACCCATCTGCCAATCTACGGTTTTTCACATGCATACTGGGCCTGAAGTCGATCACTGCAACAAGAACATCCTCTTGCAAGACCAAACACATGCATAGCTTAGTCATATAGTATGTTCGATCTGCATATTAAGTGATAGATATCTGGGGACAAACAAGATTCGCACATTCCTTCATGGCGGGAGCACGGGGAAAAGTTCTGCAAGTCATTCAAACAAATTCCAGGGATTGATAGAGGGAGAGTGCCGCCTGTCTGCTGAAATGTCCTATCCAACTTTAATCTGATCTCCTGGTCTTTGTCATTTCGAAGGAAAGGCAATTCCTCAGAGCATCGGCGGAATTGCAAAGCCAAGAGATTGTTCCACATGCGCCAGCTCAGCGACAAACAATTGGCACAGAAAACCTTGGTGTGCCCAGGGCTTCTTCAGAGAGAGTTTGCACCAGTTTGGACACCTATGCAGCTCCTCGTTTCACCTCAGATCAGCATACGACGTCTGTTACTGAAGAGTTCGTGAGTGGCCTGGGATGAAAACGGGTGCTGTTTAGCACGCACCCAAGCTGTCACCAGGGAGCAGGAGCTGCATGAATATCGACATGTTTGTGGAGTTACACTACAGATGATCTTGAACACTACAGCTGATGGATTGTGGAGTTTCCAAAACATGTCCCCTTCAGCCAGTACTTGCTGACTAAGCTGCGGCTTCTGCCATCTTCTGAATCTCGTCTTCAGCATTGGCCACCTTGTCTGACACCTGGGAGAACACGGACTAAAGAACCTGTGCTTGACTTGATTTCATTTGATTTCTATTGAATCACTTCACTGACATCAGAAGTCCCCTCAGTGTGCTCTACAAACTCATTTACAATCCCCAAAACACCTGCGGCGGACCTCCTTCATGAGCAAATCTGCAGCCAAACGCACCTGGCTAGGTAGGTGAGCTGTTGATGAGATCGGGCAAAACCATGGTTGGTGGCTACCTCTCTTCCTCACTTGGCAGCTAGGGATGACAGGTTGGACCCTGACATGGGAAATGTTCCGCACGCAAGGCGTGAGAATACAAAAACCAGCTAATCAATAGTAGTGGAGAGGTGAAACATACTTGGAAGGTTCAGCTAGTCTTGGACCTTGACTCCAAGTAAATCTTCGGCAAAAATGATCAAGGCGGACTGGGCTAGTTGGTTGGTGGGCGGAGTTGTTGGTTGGGCCAGGGTTGTTGTGGATCACATGTCACGGTCACTGCCTTTGACCTGTTCCAAAGTGTGGAACTCTATGGATCTATCATTATAACTTTAAAGGGATAAATTTCCGGGTAAATTCCATTGCCAGGGCATGTGATTAAGGTGTTGTTATATAGTCCTACTGTCTCAACTACTGTCTCAGGACCCTAAACGCCGTACTATGTGCTGTGTCTCCCGTCTCCCGACCGGGACAGCGGGACAGCGGCGGGATCGATCGCCTGGGTCTCGCGGAGGATGCTTCGCAGGTCATCCAGCTTCTCTTGCGCGAGCTTGCATCGCTCCAGCAGGCCCTGCGTGTGCGAATGGTACAAGAGAGAGAGAGAGAGAGAGTATGATGTACGAATCATATGATGATATACATGCTATACCATGGTTTAGTATACTATGTATACTGGTATACCCCTACAAGCTCAAATAAGGATGGCATCATCTGTGAGTGCTTAATGATGGAAAAAAAAGAGGTGAACCCCTCACACATCACTGGCATCCGCCTGCCAAATCCTGCCAACCCGTTTATACTTAATCAAACATTCTTCGAAATGTGTAAAGTGTGAAGGGTGAAACAGGTTTGACACAACTAATTACGTCTAAACTGCTGTCTGAATCCAAGTCGCAGCTGTCTCCACTGCAACGTTCTATCAGTCAGGTAAAGCCTGGAAGGTCACGATTTCAACTGACCTGACAGGCTTCTTCACCTCTTACAGGCTTTGCTGGCTCTGCCCAACCTCCGTATTTTCTTACCAAAACATCTTCAGTGATCTTCCGTGTTGGCATCGACCGATCCCACAAGCGCCCTCCGCAGCGAAAACAGTTCTGGTGGCAGGCCACAATGATTGCGGCACCTTGAACAGCTAACCCTGTCATGAGAGGTCCCTTCTGCAAGTCCAAATTCAGTTGCATTGATGCGTCAGCTGAGTGAGATGCTGCACAGTTGCGGCTGCGAGCAATGGCCTTTATCACCAAAACGGTTGTCACCCAAATCTACCTGCAACATGTGTCAGCACTTGTCAGCTGTGAAAGATTCTGCCGGGCCGTTGCCCGTCACTGGGTGCCAATGATTTCTGAATGGCGCCAATGAATTTTGGCAACGGCCCGGCAGAATCTATGGCCCGGCACCATCCCTGAATGTGCAATTGCGCACTGGTTGCAAGTTGCCTGATCGCGCAACTTCTTGGCGCAACTTCTGAGACGAGGCGCCCCAGCATCACTGGCACTCACCCGGGTGCCTCGTCCACTCGGTGACCCAGGTCTCCCACAGTGACCCAGGTCTCGTCGATCCGGCTTGGTGGCGAAGCCCAAAAGGGAATCCATTGAGCCAACGTCTCGAACGTCTCAGTGGCGCAAACCCACTGAGATTCACCATGAAAAAGTACCCCTGCCAAGCCAATGAGTGTTCAAAAGGAAAACTGCTGTAGGACAGGTCTTCTCTGTCATCTGCTGTAGGACAGGTCTTCTCTGTCATATGCGTCCAGCTTCTTTGTCATATGCGTCCAGGTCCCGCCTTCAGCTGCTCGCCAAAGTCCACATCCTCAAGCTGCTTGAGCTTGGCTTCCACCTGACGATTCCTGGGCAAGAATGGGCACGGCATCAGAAGGACGAGGTGTTTGCATTCTCTAATCAATGCAACCATGTGCAACCGTTGGCAACCATGTGCCACCCAGACTTGTCTTCTAAGGGAATCAACGTTTTTCTTGTTCCATGTCCGCCAGCCAAACCAGGAGGCTTTTCGCACCCAACACTCCTCTGTGCCGGTGCCAGTCCCAGTGGCGTCTGCGCCAGCATCGTTTGGGCCAAGGTCAAGGTGGCTTCCGTCTCCTGCGGTCCGAACGCAGGACCTGAATTGTATGAAGGATCGTCTGAGTCTGGGGGATTGGAGGGCTGGACTAGCTAGAATCATTAGCTCTATAGGCTGTGGTCTCCAGATTGAGCACTGAAAGGATGGGGGGTCTAGAGGTAGGAGGCCATGGCCCCGATCTTAGATGAAACATTGTATACTTGCATGCCCAAACGATCCCATGCGTGTTCATTCACTGCCATTCTTTCAGGAAGGGCTTAATGGGCTTCAGCGGGTATGTTCATTGAATCCGAGGGGAATTGACTGGCCAAGCTTTCTTCATTCTTCTGTACCCGAGCACCTCACCCTCTCGCTGTCCATGCCTATCTCGCCTCTCCTTCATCCCCTCATCGCTGTCTGTGCCCATCGGGGCCGTCATCATCGCAGCCTTCTCCACCTGACGCGCCAGGCACGACCGATGCGTCGGTGGGTGGACGAAGAACATGCCGAAGTACGGCTGGAACAAAACATCCCACATGTGTTAATTAATTATTCCAACCACCTCCTTCGACTCCTTCAACTGGCAATGCTCAAAAGATCTCAAAAGTACAAGTCAGGAGCACATAGACTTCACGAAGCCTGGTCCACTAAGGTCACTTGACGTTTTCCTCAAAAAAATCCAGTGCAATGACATGCACAGACCCAAGCCCCAGTGGTGTGGCGTCTTCCGAACCCACCCGCGCGGGGCGCCGATCCGCGCTCTACACCCACACCGCGGTCTACGGTCTCGTTCCGTTCCATCCCCGGTCACCGTCCCAAACGGTTTTTTCCGTCCGGTTGACCGCAGACTCGAGCACCTCGATCTCGGCCCCGGCCAGCTTGCTCGAGAGCTCCTCGTAGAGCCTTGGAGCGGATCCGTGCGGCGCAGGGTCGTGGAGGGCGGCGGCGGATCCGTCCGGAAGCGTTGAGCAGTGCGACAGCGATTTTGAGGCACCCATCTGGTAGGATCATCTCCATCTGGCAGTTTAGACCATCCCTAGCTGCCTCATACTGTATCCATCCCCCTACCTGAGCCAGATGGACGATCCAATCCGGCCATCCGGGTCCGCTCCGAACACCGGGCTCCCGGGCTTGCGTGCCTGCGCGCGCCTCTCGTAGTCCTGCACGGTGCTGCCAGGGTTCCGAGTCAACCGTTGGAGTCTTTGTGTGTTCATGTTAATTATAGTATAATAACTGTACAACTGTATAAGTTCAGTATTAAGATCCTCACACAAGCTAGTCTTGGAGATTGAGTGATTGAAGTGGGCGAAAAATGCCCTTCCGTCTATTCCGTCTTTATTCGTCTGACCCTTGCAAATCAATGGACTTCAGAAATGTCAAACAATATCTTGGACATGCCAGGAACAAGAGTCCCCTTCTAGAAGGGAATTCACCCAGTTCGGGAACATCCAAATCACCGGATCACCGCAGAATCCCAAGTGATATGAGTCTTCAACTTCAGCACAGTGGACCACTCCAGGGTCCAGTCGACTACTCCGACCCCCACTCCCCCCCCAGGATCGCTGAAAACGCCGAACTTCCGGCACCTGCCGAACCGACTTGAAGGGGTTCAACCTCTTCTGCGCTGCGTTCAGCCTCTCCTGCCGCTGCGAGAGTTTTCCGGGCGTCCACGGGACTGGGCTCGTCCAGCGAGCCGCTGAAGCGTTTTTGGGGTGGCCAAAGTGGAGACCGAAGTGGGAGAGAAGTGGGCCATGAAAAAGAGTCTTATGGCTTCCAATGGTACAGTATTTGCAAACTGGTACAGTATTTGATAGGGAAAGATGGGTGATGGCCATATATTGGGCCACTCCTTACATCCTTACATCAATGTTCAGCACTTGTTTGGGGATCTTGGATGGACCGGGTCCATGTACGGACGATTATAGTTATTATAGATGATGTACTCTACCAACAGATGTACTCAGACTGTATACTCTTAGATACTCTTAGTCTCTTAGTACTCTTTGTGATGCTTCACGACCCTACCAAATCCATGCTCCAGACGCGGCGTCGCGAAAAACGGTGCAGCGGAAAACTCCCCGCCAGTGACAACCACAACCCAACCACATGAAACCGAAGAGTCGACCGTTTTTTGAACCATTTTCCTTCAGACCGACCCAGTGCATGCACTGGGGTTCCATGTGGAAGTCCGAAGGTTAGCGGGGGAGATTTACCTCGGTGGAGTCCATCCCTTCGACATGCTTTTACATACGACGGATCCGCTTGTAAACCTCCTTTCAAAGGTTACACCCGCTTGGAAGCGAAGATGTTGGATGACGGTTCTGAATCGTCTCAGTCTGTCAGGTGAGACTGTCTGACCAGGGCCACGGCCACGCAGGGACGGTTGACCGACCTTCTCCCCAGGTGTGATGTCACGGGAATGGACATCACAAAACATAAGCCCATGTAAGAACCAAGTATATGAGCAATCATGTGGCAGATTGAAGTGAAACTGGTTCCAATTGCAAAAGGTACCTGAACATACCTGAACTGGGGTTTGCTCGGACACCCCTGTCACAGCTCGGTGGCCCGGAACGTTCCGCACACGATGTTCCGGTGCCGCGCACGCAGAACTTCTTGAGAACAGTGGTCCACCTGCAGGCTTGAGAACTCATCGATGGCCTGTTTCTTCACCAACGGCCTCGATGCCACGAGCCAACGCCAGGCGACACGAAGGTGTGGGACGCGTCACTGTTGATGAGCCTAGATGCGGGACCTCGCAAAAATCCATGAGGAAAACACCAAAGGAGCGTTGATGTTTTTGTCCCGTTGATGTTCTTTTCGATCAAAAGGCGGTGGATGGTGGATCAAAGAGAAGATGTGATTACTCATCATGTACCACGATGGATACCTCCAATGAAATCAACTGATCACCACATGAGAACTATACATTGGGCGTATGACGGTGTATGATGGTGTATGGATGATGATGATGATGATGATGATGATGATGATGATGATG